AAATTTAAGTCAGGGAGAGTTTGAATGGTGAGCTGGAGGGAGAGTTAGTTTGAATGGGAAGGTTCAGGGAGAGTTACTTTGAATGGGAATCATTTAGAGGAAGCGAACTGGACATATCTGAGAGAGTGTGGTAGCTAAAGAATGTCTTAATCATTTTTATATTAAAAAAAATCTATGTACGTATTACCAACAGCTTGACTGGTCAAAGACCGACCGAGAATTCCTCCACAACAAGGTGGTATATTGTCTTATAAGTTTATTCAGGTATACACAAATACAGTTACATAGATTATCATACATAGCAGCATATGTGTAGAGAACCTGGGATAACCCACAAGAGTCAGACACTGACTTATTTCTATTGGGGTCTCCAGGTCACCCAGTAGTTTATTGTTTATTATTTTAATATTTCCTGGTTCTGTATGACCCGTTCTTACCCATTCTAGATCTGATACTAGAAAAGTATGTGTGTGGAATCAGGGATGAGATTATGAAAATTAATAGTATTTATAATACAGGTTTGTTTGCAATCGTGTCATTACGATTTCGTGAGTCGGTAAAATTACTGTTTAAAATACAGGGATAACCTTAATATTTAAAATACAGGGGTAACAATAATATTTAAAGTACAGGGGTAACAATAATATTTAAAATACAGGGGTAACATTAATATTTAAAATACAGGGGTAACATTAATATTTAAAATACAGGGGTAACATTAATATTTAAAATACAGGGGTAACAATAATATTTAAAATACAGGGGTAACATTAATATTTAAGATACAGGGATAACATTAATATTTAAAATACATGGGTAACATTAATATTTAAAATACAGGGGTAACATTAATATTTAAAATACAGGGGTAACATTAATATTTAAAATACAGGGGTAACATTAATATTTAAAATACAAGGGTAACATTAATATTTAAAATACAGGGGTAACATTAATATTTAAATACAGGGTAACAATAATAATTTAAAATACAAGGGGTAACAATTAATATTTATAAGATACAGGGATAACATTAATATTTAATATACATGGGTAACATTAATATTTAAAATACAGGGGTAACATTAATATTTAAAATACAGGGGTAACATTAATATTTAAAATACAGGGGTAACATTAATATTTAAAATACAGGGGTAACATTAGTATTTAAAATACAGGGGTAACATTAATATTTAAAATACAGGGGTAACATTAATATTTAAAATACAGGGGTAACATTAATATTTAAAATACAAGGGTAACATTAATATTTAAAATACAGGGGTAACATTAATATTTAAAATACAAGGGTAACATTAATGTTTAAAATACAGGGGTAACATTAATATTTAAAATACAGGGGTAACATTAATACAAGCAAGAACGTCAACTACTGCAGCCAGGGCGAGTGCTCAGTACGATACTAACTGCATTATTAATTATGTAAATTATCCAATAATATGCAAGCTAAACTCTGCAAAATCTAATCAGATTAAACTTTATATCCAATAATAATTATAGTAAATTGTGTTCATTTGCTCGACAAGTTTTCTGAAATATTTGGAGAGCAAATTTATTTGTTTATTGGCCAAACTGAACACTGTGGGTGGCCTGGCCACACTGAATACTGGGTGGCCTGGCCACAATGAACACTATGGGTAGGTTGGCTGCATTAAACACTATAGCTAGGTTAGCCACACTGAACATTGACCCTGTGTTGACCACACTGAACATTGACCCTGTGTTGACCACACTGAACATTGACCCTGTGTTTTACCACACTGAACATTGACCCTGTGTTGACCACACTGAACATTGACCCTGTGTTGACCACACTGAACATCGACCCTGTGTTGACCACACTGAACATTGACCCTGTGTTGACCACACTGAACATTGTTCCTTCCTGGCTTGGCCACGCTGAACAATGTGTGTGGCTTGGCCATACTTAACACCATGGCCAGCTGGTTTGGCCATACTTAACACCGTGGTTGGTTTGGTCACTACATTTCCTAATGTTTTCAATCACCAGCTGCCACACCCCACTCAGGAAAACAACTTAATTTCCACCTTCCAAAGCTTCTGCGTCTGGCAGGAAGAAACCGTGGAAGACGAGAGACAGGAGAGGAGTGATGGGGAGGAGAGATGAGGGAGGAGAGATGAGAGAGGAGACATGGGAGAGGAGAAGTGGGAGAGGAGAGATGAGGGAGGAGAGATGGGAGAGGAGAAGGGGAAGAGAAATAGTCTACACTTTAGACAGAGTGAACTTAAGATTCAATAAGGAAGTCAAAGATGGAGTATTAGGTTAATACTAGTCAAAAGCATCCATTGAAATACGCACCTCTAAACGTATATACTCAAAGGAATATGCACATCTCTGTGTAGTGTTGTCCTGGTTCCTGGGGTAGTGTTGTCCTGGTTCCTGGGATAGTGTTGTCCTGTTTCCTGGGGTAGTGTTGTTCTGTTTCCTGGGGTAGTGTTGTCCTGGTTCCCTGGGGTAACACAGTGTTGTCCTGTTTCCTGGGGTAGTGTTGTTCTGTTTCCTGGGGTAGTGTTGTCCTGGTTCCTGGGGGTAACACAGTGTTGTCCTGTTTCCTGGGGTAGTGTTGTCCTATTTCCTGGGGTAGTGTTATCCTGGTTCCTGGGGTAATACAGTGTTGTTCTGTTTCCTGGCGTAGTGTTGTCCTGGTTCCTGGGGTTGTGTTGTCCTGGTTCCTGGCGTAGTGTTGTCCTGGTTCCTGGCGTAGTGTTGTCCTGGTTCTTGGCGTAGTGTTGTCCTGGTTCTTGGCGTAGTGTTGTCCTGGTTCTTGGCGTAGTGTTGTCCTGGTTCCTGGCGTAGTGTTGTCCTGGTTCTTGGCGTAGTGTTGTCCTGGTTCCTGGCGTAGTATTGCATCATGTCAGCTTTCTGTATCGTGGTGTTGCTGTGTGACACAAGTGTTATTACATCCAGCTGTTGCATAATGTCTTACTCGTCCACTTTTCAGCATTGTATACCAGTACTATAATGATGTCTGCCGTTGTTTACAATTTAAGGTCACCTAGAGATAATACCTGAGGTTAGATAAAGCATTCTCAGTCCAATCTGGCATATCCTTCGAGAATCCGAAGCTGCAGACTCTGTGGGCCAGGAGCTGAATCTCGATTCCCCTAAACACAACCCAGTGAGTACACACACACACACACACACACACACACACACACACACACACACTTCCTCCCTCTCTTCCCTCACTGTTTTTTGTATTTTCCGTAAATTCCGTTTTATTATTATTCTCTGCTACTTCTCTCTCTGCGTTCCGCCATGTGCAGGTCATCCCATCCCCTTTCCCACTCTCCAGCCTCCCTTCAGGGCTTGGGAGATGGGTAGGATGGAGGAGAGAAGTTTGGAGGCTGGGAGAAAGGAACACCGGGAAATGGAACTGGAAGTATTAAAGTGAGAGAAAGGAAAGTAGGGAGGGAAGTAGAGAAAGTAAGGTACAACAGAAAGAGGTAGTAGGGAAAGACACATTTAAGGTTTTGCGGGAAAAAAATATCTTGATGTGGTAAACTGTAATGTATTGTGAAATAGTGTTGTAATGTATTGTGCTTCATTGTAACATGTTGTGATTCACTGAATTGTAATGTGATTCAATGGAATGTATTGTGCTTCATTGTAACATGTTGTGATTCACTGAATTGTAATGTGATTCAATGGAATGTATTGTGGTGTAGTGTAATGTATTGTGATTCATTGTAATGTACTGTGGTACATTGTAATGTACTGTGATACATTGTAATGTACTGTGATACATTGTAATGTACTGTGGTACATTGTAATGTACTGTGATACATTGTAATGTACTGTGATACATTGTAATGTACTGTGGTACATTGTAATGTACTGTGATACATTGTAATGTACTGTGGTACATTGCAATGTACTGTGTACATTGTAATGTACTGTGATACATTAATGTACTGTGTACATTGTAATGTACTGTGATACATTGTAATTGTTTTGTGATACATTGTAATGTACTGTGGTACATTGTAATGTACTGTGGTACATTGTAATATATTATTGTGATATATTGTGATTCACTGTAATATATTGTGGTACATTGCAATTTATTGTGGTGCATTGTAAAGTACTGTGGTATACATTGTAATGAACTGTAAGTCATTCTAATGTACTGTGGTACACTGTAATACACTGTGAGTCATTGTAATGTACTGTGGTACATTGTAATGCATTCTAATGTGTTGTGATACATTGTAATATACTGTGGTTCATTGTGATGTATTGAGGTACACTGTAATGTATAGTGGTGCATTATAATATTTTGTGATACATTGTAATATATTAATGTAATATATTGTGGCACATTATAATGTACAGATAGAGGTACAGACACAATAATACACAGAGGCACAGACAAAGATAATACACAGAGGTACAGACAAAGATAATACACAGAGGTACAGACAAAGATAATACACAGAGGTACAGACAAAGATAATACACAGAGGCACAGACAAAGATAATACACAGAGGTACAGAACATACAATAACACAGAGGCACAGACAAAGATAATACACAGAGGCACAGACAAAGATAATACACAGAGGTACAGACATACAATAATACACAGAGGCACAGACAAAGATAATACACAGAGGCACAGACAAAGATAATACACAGAGGTACAGACAGACAATAATACACATAGGCTGTGGAAATTATTTTGGGCTACCAAAATATTCCACGAACCGTTCAACAGCACTTGAGTTTTAAGAGCCCTTAATATACTCACTTCAATAACATTTGTACATAGTATTTGTACTTCTAGTAAGATTTACGTAGTTACACAAAGTAGAAAATAACCGTAGGAATTATTAATACAGTTTTAGGACCTAAAATAGGTAGGAATAGTTAGATAGCTAATGTTTCAAATTCGAACGAAATCACTTCAAGAGACACTCACTAGTCAGTTGCATCTCAGAGATCAAAGAGGTAGGATGTGACACTCGAGAAGCCAGGAAACCGGCATTAACTTACTTTTACAGGAAACTACTAGAACAACGAAGCTTCCTCAAACACCGAGGATACCTACTAGTACCCTGACAAACCCCAGCGAACTGGATTTACGTTTCTGTCAGCATCACTGGCCAATCTTTCTGCTGAAACGCGGGTTGAGAACGTTTACTGGGAGATTTTGGCGGATATACAACACCGAAGTCTGTCATTACTGAGGTACCGAGAGTATGGAAGTGTAGCTCTTACTCATGAAAGTTGACTTGTCTTGTAGTCAGATATTACACAACACCGTAGTTACGTGGAATTTTGTTGTATGAGCCATTGGTCTGCCTGAGATATTAACTCGGGTCGCCTGTGTCAACAGCTTTTGCAAATTTTCCAGCGCACTCGGAGACACAGACAAAGATAATACACAGGCACAGACAGACAATAATACACAGGTACAGACAGACAATAATACACAGGTACAGACAGACAATAATACACAGGTACAGACAGACAATAATACACAGAGGTACAGACAGACAATAATACACGGGAAAATATAAAGATAATACACAATTTACAGACAGCAATAATACACAGATACAAAGATAAATACACAGGTACAGACAGACAATAATACACAGATATACAAAGATAATACCCCAAGTACAGACAGACAATAATACACAGATACAAAGAAAAATACACAGGTACAGACAGACAATAATACAGAGATACAAAGATAATACACACAGGAAACAGACAGAAAATAATACACACAGGTACAGACAGACAATAATAACCCCAGGTACAGACAGACAAAAATACACACAGGTACAAACAATAATACACACAGGTAACAGACAGACAATATGCACACAGGTACAGACAATAATACAGAGGTACAGACACAATAATACAGACAAAGATAATACACAGGTACAGACAGACAATAATACAGAGATACAAAGATAATACACAGGTACAGACACAATAAAACCCCACAGGTACAGACAGACAGTAATACACAGGTACAGACAGACAATAATACACAGGTACAGACAGACAATAATACACAGAGATATAAAGATAAAACAAAGTACAGACAGATAAAAATACACAGAGATACAAAGGAATACACAGGTACAGACAGACAATAATACACAGAGGTACAAAGATAATACACACAGGTCAGGCAGACAATAATACACACAGGTACAGACAGACAATAACACAGGTACAGACACAATAATACACAGGTACAGACAAACAATAATACACACAGGTACAGACAGACAATAATGCACACAGGTACAGGACAATAATACCCCGGTACAGACTAAAATAATACACATGGTAAGACAGACAATAAACACAGGTACAGACAGACAAAAATACACACGGGTACAGACAAAACAAAAATACACAGGTACAGACAATAATACACACAGGTACAGACAATAAACACAGGTACAGACAATAAAAACCACAGGTACAGACAGACAATAATACCACAGGTACAGACAGACAATAATGAAACACAGGTAAGACAATAATACACAGGTACTACAGACAATAATACCCCATAGGTACAGACAATAATACACACAGGTACATACACAATAATACACACAGGTACAGACAGACAATAATACACACACGTACAGACAATAATACACAGGTACAGACAATAATACACACAGGTACAGACAAAATACACACAGGTACAGACAAAAATACGAAACGGGTTTACAGACAATAATACACAGTACGACACAATAATACAGACAAAGAAAATTTCACAGGTACAGACAGACAATAATACAGAGGAAACAAAGATAATACACACAGGTACAGACAGACAATAATACACACAGGTACAGACAGACAGTAATACACGGTACAGACAGACAATAATACAGAGGTACAAAAAATAAACACACAGGTACAGACAGACAAAAATACACACAGTACAGACAGACAGTAAAATACACAGGTACAGAAGACAAAAATTTACACAGGTACAGACGACAATAATACACAGAGATATAAAAAATACACAAGTACAGACAGACAATAATACACAGAGATACAAAGATAATACACAGGTACAGACAGACAATAATACAGAGATACAAAGATAATACACACAGGTACAGACAGACAATAATACACACAGGTACAGACAGACAATAATCCACACAGGTACAGACAGACAATAATACACAGAGGTACAGACAAACAATAATACACAGGTACAGACAGACAATAATGCAAACAGGTACAGACAATAATACACAGGTACAGACAGACATTAATACACACAGGTACAGACAGACAATAATACACACAGGTACAGACATAATAATACACACAGGTACAGACAGACAATAATACACACAGGTACAGACAATAATGCACACAGGTACAGACAATAATACACAGGTACAGACAATAATACACACAGGTACAGACAATAATACACACAGGTACAGACAGACAATAATGCACACAGGTACAGACAATAATACACAGGTACAGACAGACAATAATACACACAGGTACAGACAATAATACACACAGGTACAGACACAATAATACACACAGGTAAAACAGACAATGATAAAACACAGGTACAGACAAATACACAGGTACAGACAATAATACACGGGTACAGACAATAAAACACACAGGTCAGACAATAATACACACAGGTACAGACAGACAATAATACACACAGGTACAAACAATAATACAGAGGTACAGACACTAATACAAAGATAATACACAGGTACAGACAGACAATAATACAGAGGTACAAAGATAATACACACAGGTACAGACAGACAATAATACACACAGGTACAGACAGACAGTAATACACAGGTGCAGACAGACAATAATACACAGAGGTACAGACAAACAATTATACACACAGGTACAGACAGACAATAAACACACAGGTACAGAAGACAATAATACACAGGTACAGACAACAATAATACACACAGGTACAGACAGACAATAATACAGACAGGTAGACAGACAATAATACACACAGGTACAGACAATAATACACACAGGTACAGACAAACAATAATACACAGGTACAGACAATAATACACACAAGTACAGACAAACAATAATACACAGGTACAGACAGACAATAATACACACAGGTACAGACACAATACACAAGAAAAACAGGTAAACAATGATTCCCCATCTTTTTCTTTTCCTCACGTCACATTTAAATCATTTATTGTGACCTTCGCCAAAAGTGAATTTGAAAAATCTTAATGGTCAAGAATTTGTTTTCTTCAGTTTTAACCATAATTCCAAGTTTGAATAATAATAATTTTACATTCTCTTCTTTTGAATGATATAAAGTGTGTTATTCATGGCAGAAATTTGAAAAATTGTAGAAAAATATAGTTAAAATATTTTATTTTTCTTATAACTAAATATATTTTTAACATTTTAATGTTACCTAACTGAAATTTTAACTTTATTAAGTTTTCATAAATTCTCGTAACCCAATTTTAAATAAAAAAGCATTTAATATAATTTTTTTTCTTAGCAATTAGTGCTTTTGTGTGTTATTGTTAATAAGTCTTTATATATATATATATATCTTAATTTATGTATTCTGTTGTATAGACGGAAGAACAAGATATAGGTAATGTATGTTGATCTTAAGATGTTGTAGAGATCGTAGTGCAGTAAATACATTATAATAAGTCACTTGAGAGAATATAATCTTAGTGAAGAAGGTCAGTAACTGAGCAACTTTTCTGGGATGGAAGGAAACTAACAGAAAGTTTAGTGTGTTTTATCTGCGAGTTGCGAAAAATGGTGTGGGAGAGAGTGGGGTGTGTTGACCCAGCTTTAGTTTCCATGGGTTGAGTTCCAGCTCTTGAACCTGCCTTTTAGAAGTCTTAAGAGATCAATTTATGTTGTATTGTTGCGTTATTGTACTGTTTTGTATTGCATTATATTTCAATTGTATTATTGCGTTTTTACTGAACTGTATTGTATTATTTTTTTTTTATTTTACTGTATTCCTATATTGTTTTTTGTTGTATTGTATTGTGGCATCTCGTTTGCTTTGAATGTCTTGTAAACAAGAGAGCACAAGCTCTTTAATGAGTACCATCAAGAGCTGAGGCCAGCCATGGTGTTCCGACCTTGCCAGGCTCGGTGAAGGAGGCTTCACAGAGCTCTGGAACACTGGTTGGGAGCGCTCACGAGGATGATAGATAGATTGGACGGGATTAGTAAACCAATATACATCAGCCTTCGTCACTCACGCAGCCCTTCTCAAACACATCTCTCGCTCCTCCCACGCTAATCTCCCCCCCCCCCTCTCTCTCTCTCTCTCTCTCTCCCCCTCTCTCCCTCTCTCTCCTCCCTCGTCTCTCATCTCTCTCCTCTCCCCCTCTTTTCTCTCATCTCCCTCTCTCCTCTCCTTCTCTCCTCCCCCTCTCTCTCCTCTCTCCTCTCTCTCCTCTCTCTCTCTCCCCTCTCCCCCTCTCTCTCTCTCTCCCTCTCCCCCCTCTTTTCCCTCTCTCTCCCCTCCTCTCTCTTCCTCTCTCCCCTCCTCTTCTCCCCTCTCTCTCTCTCTCCCTCTCTCCTCTCTCCTCTCCTCTCTCCCACACACATTTAACGTGAAGAAGGCGGGCCATGAGCTATGAATCACCCCTGCCCAAACCCCAACTAGTAGTACGGCGGACCAGGATCGCAGGACTACAAAGAGACCTAAAAGCTGGACGCAGGTCTAGGGAACTGGCTCCTTGAATTTAACCCCCTCCCAATGCAAAGTCTGAAGATCCGGAAGGGGAAAGAAGACCGCAGACTTGGTGGCCAAGACGCAAAACTCACCAAGGAAAAAGATCTTGGGTGAGTATAATACCGAACGCGGATTTTCCGAGCACACAACCAGATAACTGCTGCAGCATTGAACGCCTGGCAACCTGAGAATAGCCTTCCATACCTCGTAAGGGAAATTTCAAGACTCGTACACCGTGTCAAAATACGCGGTAATAGATTAGGGGGACCCAAGACAGGATGTTCCAAATGGGACACATAACAAGGGTCACAATTGGAATTGAAGACTCACACGAGTCAAAGGATGTTTAGGAAGTATTTCCTTTAGTCCCTAGGTTGTCAGAAGTGGAATATCTTGCAATTTTATGTATTGAGCAGACATCATACATAGTTTTAACAGTATG